CGAGGCGCGCGGGTGCGAGGGTGGGCCAGGCTCTCGCGCACCCGGTGCCTGAGTCCCTCCGCGCCTCCTCGACCTCCACGCGGGGAGGGTGTCGTTTTCTGCGTGTTGAGAACAAAGCTCCTCGGGGCGTCCCGTTTGGGTGCTCCAGGAGCTGCCGGTTTCTGCTTTACCCAAAATGATCAAAGGGACTTGGAAGGGGAAAAGGGAAGCAGGTAGCTCTCAGTTCTACCCGTGTCGCGTGGGAGCAAATATGGTTTAATTTTTTTTTTAAGCCATGACTACTCATATTTTGCCAGAACCACGCTGCCCGGACAGAGATCGAGTGTGTATTACGGTTCCCACTTAGACTGAAAGAGGCAGGCACGTTAGCCTCAGAGATGGCAGGGCCGAGAAGAGAGGATGGGGGTGTTGCCATTGCTCGCCTTGGGTAGTTCCTGGAAAGGTGCCTTCCCAGACAGTGAGTGCCAACTGCCCGCACCAGGGCTCTGAAAACCTGCCAGATTTTGTGCGGAATTCGGGAGTGTGCAGTTATGGCCCGCAGGAGGCCACGGCCAGAGAGGATTGGCGAGAAGAGAGCTAGGAGAACTCAAATTTCCCCTTTTCCCACCCTGCTACTGTTCAGAGAAAGCCTCCCTGTACTTCCTTGCTCTCCACATTTTTTTCTATTGAAAATAATTTTTAAGTCATATTTGCTTGTTTTTCAACAAAGATGTATTTAAGCGATTCACTCTTGATAGATCTCTGGACTAGGTGCATGTCTGAGCCACTGCTCAGAGGTATGAGCTATTCCTGTTGAGTTAGATTTTGGATTTCTGCCGGGTTGTCTGTTCTACAACTTGGGCTCCAGGATGCTCCTCTTTGAAGTTGGAGCCATGTCTGTCTCACCTCCTCTATGAGCTCGCACAGGTGAGGACACCCAGCAGATGAGACTCCTTAGAAGTCTCCATCTTCCATTTGGAAACAAGCTGGGTTGGCTGGGGTGGGGAGTGGGTCAGTCTGACAGCCTGTTCCCTATACCAACCTCATGCATCTCCCTCTCCAGCTGCTTGCTTCTGCATCTCAGGATAGTTGGTGCTGCCTGCTTCCCCTCCTTATATTCCAGACTTACTCCTCTAGAACCTTGTGCAAAGTAAAGTCAGGTTTCTAGGAAATAAATAACATTCATAAATTGCCTTGGCAGAGGCCATTTGTGGAGGAAAAGAGAGAAGTAGAGAACCACGTCTTGACTGCTTACCTCTACCATATTTTCCCCTAGAAGGACCAAGTAGCTTAGGGTGGTTTTTAGGAAAGATTTATCTTGCCTCACTACATTTAAATAACAGATACCACAAAGAGAGAGATATGATTTCCCTGCAGCCAAATAGGTGAGATGGCCTTGATTGTTTTCCTAATGATGAGTTCAGAATTAATTGTTAAGTCCCTTTTTAAAGACAGTTTTCAGGGTAACCCTTGGTTGGCATTTCCCTCCCTATTCCCTGCAGAAGTGGAATCCTGTCTTTTCAGCCAAGGTATCCTCTCTGGAGATACCCGTTAACCAAGTGTTGCACACCAGTGTTGAGTGTACCAATTCACTGGCAACTGGTTTGGAAAGGATTTTGAGCCGTTGTTCCCTGGCCTTGGAGCCTGTTGCATAAATACACCTTCAGGGTCAAGAGGGATTACATGCCCATTTTGCAGCTAGGGCTTTTGGTGTCAGGTGGGCATTTTTCTCTATAGTTATAATGTGAGTGAGCCCAGGAGCTTGATTCTGATGCTTTTCTTTTGAAAGGAAGACCATCATTTAAAAGCTGTAAGTCCCCAGCTAAAATCTTTCTGGACATTTGCCTGTCTGGGAGCAATATAAGGCAGTCCCTGAGTGTTTCAGCTCTTGGTCTGAGAAGTGTCAGGCCTAGGCCACCCCTAGTGTGCCTATCATAAGCGCTTCTCGGGGTCCTCCTCTATTCCTCTTTCTTCGAAGCACTGGGCCTCAGTGGAAATCATACTTCTGTTTGTGCAGTCTGCACAAGCTCATTCATAAGTGAAATTCCAGCCAACTTATATCAGTGACACCAAGTCCATCCATAAGTCCTTACTAATCATGATAGTAAAATTATTTTTGTAATAGTCTTAATTGATATAGAAAATCGCAAGCACCGCTTTCTGCACCTTTCTGGACCTTCTATAGCTTCTTTTCTGGACCTTTCAGCGTGTGGATCTTAGAAAAGTAAAAACTCTTACATTCATTAACTACTCTAACAGTGTCATCTGATTACAGCTATCGAAATGTTCCGGCCCTACTATAATTTAACAGCCCTAACACTTTAAAATATTTTGATTATTAAAATGAGGGGCAAAGTATGAACCAGCTTAAAGCCTTTGATTTTTCAAGACATAATATATGAGGGTAATGCAAGTAAAGATCGTCTTTATTAGGTGTGAAAGTTAATTCTTTTCATGGACAAGGAGATACTAAGAGCTAAACATTTCCTCATATTCTGATTCATTAGATAAAGGGATTTAATGGTTAAGTGACCATCTTTGTTAATTTCTGTGAAAGACTACAATGTCCTAGAAATAATATCTTGGATTTTCAGGTGAGATGCCTGTACTAAAACACCATTAGGAATTATTTTTCATTGTTTTCATTACAGTTCTTATAGGCTTTTACATGCTTCTGTAGTCTAGCAGAATGAGCACAAAGCTTGGAGTCAGTAGTGCTGGATTTGAATTCTACCAGACTATCACTTAGACAATTCTTTTATTCTCGGAATCTTCAATTTCCTCATCTGGAAAATAGGGATATTAGTCATTACCTCATTTGTTATTAGGGTTGGTTAAGACAATGTGAAAGTACACAGTCATGTGGCTGGCATATAATAAACTCAATAAATATTATTTTAAGATAAATCTGAATAACGTGATTTTGCGGAAATTAATATTTTCTTATGAAATCTAGGCTCTTATGGTCTTTCTGTGTTCTGCTTAGTGACTGCCCTATAATATAATATATAGAGTCCAAGGTGATTCAGGTGTTTTGATCACATGCTCCATCTAAGCGAATACCAGCCTCCAGATCCAGAGCATTATTCACTTTTTTAAAAGGATATGGAAAGGATTAATCATTTCCTCTTGTGCCCCATAGCCTGATTTTCAATTTGTTTAACAGGCAGGAATTCTGAAGGAAGAATTTTTGTGTCCCAAGTGGGAATTCTGTCCAAGCAGAATCACTGTGTGAGAATTCTGTGTTAGAGCATTCTAATTCAAGTCACCTAATAATGATCATATCATATATAATGTTGGTAAAGCAGTCATGGAATCCTCACCCCATTCACATGAAGCCTGATCTTTCCAGAAAGCTTGTACTTTATTGCAGTCATTTGAAAAATCTGATATCTAGCTTATGGATTTTCAAGAAAGGAAATAGATGTTATTTACATGACAAAGCTGGCAAGCTTATTCAGTCTGAATAATTTTCTTTGGAGCGCTAAGGAAGCAGTCATTTCTAGATTCAGATTCCATTGTCTAAAATCGAGAACAGTTCCTTCACGTGCTTCGTAGTATCGTTGCCCCAGCCTTGCACCTCTAGTGCTAGAGGTCTAGTAGTGCTAATTTGAGTCATGGGATATATTCTCTTGCTCTGCATGTTTTCACAGTCTGTAAAGACCCTGAGAACAGGAGCTGGCCGCAGCTCAGGCTGGTTCCAGGTCCAGCACTTCACCTGCACAGAACCTTGCATGCCGTAGTATTCAAAATATATTTTGTCATCCATAAAGCTCATTTGATCTGGCAGGTCCCAGGCTTTGTACTGCTGGGCCTCTCATCAGCTCATTCTTGGAATATACCTGCAGTAACCAACACTTAAATCATTCCTTCATTCAACAAATATATCTTGGGCACCTACTGTGTGCTGGGGACTATTCTAGAGCTAAGGCACACAGCAGTGAAAAACAACAACAATGACAACAACGTAAAAAATCCCTGTCCTTGTGGAACTTATGTTTAAGTGGAGAGAGGTAGTCAGTAAACAGACTAAATGGGTTAGATACAATAAAGCATGTTAGATGGTGAGAGTGCTCAGGGTGACATAAGGCAGGGAGGGGGCTGGGGGGGTTGCAGTTTTAAATAAAGTAAGAAGGCCCTGATGAGAAGGTGACAACTGAATCAAGACTGAAAAGAGGTGAGGGGACATGTCACAGATATCTGAGGAGCATCCTGGCTTCTTTGAGAAAGTGCGTGGGATGAGGTAGAGGCTAGGAGGGGGACAAAGGGGGCCAGAATAGTGTAAGCTTTTATATTATAAGAACTTTGACTTTTATTGGAAGATGGGAAACCATTAAAAGGTTTTGAGCAGAGCAGTGACATGGTCTGGTTGTATTTTAATCAGCTCTCCTTGGCTGCTGTTTTAACTATAGACTACAGAGGCAAGGGTGAAAACCAATTTAAGAGACTAGTGCAGTTAACCTATTTTGTGTTTTACTTATTACACTTTTCTAATCTCATTTCCAACATGGCTAGTGAAATTTTAGGATATGCTTATGAAAAGTCGATGAAAAAAAATTTTTTTGCAGCTATAAAATAGGCATTTTTGCCATTATATGGATGAGAAAACTGAGATTCAAAGTAACTGGCAACACCAGGTCTTCCTATTCCTTTCCTTCCCCTCCTTCAGGCTGCTTTTCCTCCTCCATCTTGCTTCCCATCTCCCTTCATAGTTGGTTCTTGCTGACTCACCTGGGAACCATAGTCATCTGGCTGTGTGCCGTGTTGGGGTGAGGAATAAGTATTCTATACTATGCACTTTGGTCTATAGTTGCCCTTCTCCTCT